TATATTTATATATTTATATGTTGGATGTGAGAGCGCGCTCGAGAGTAAAAGTGTGTGTCAAGTGGGTTTTCAAAATTTGATGTCAAATTTGTGAGCAAGTTTCTTTATATGAATTTGTAATTTAATGATAGAATATAATCTTTATAATTTATTTATAATAATATAGAATATAATATTTATAATTAATTTATATAATGATATAAAATAAAGAAAAAAATTATTTTATATCATTATATAAATAAATTATAAAGATTATATTTTGTCATTAAGTTATAATCCATATAAAGAGACCCGCTCACAAATTTGACATCAAATTTTAAAAATTCACTCGACACACACTTTCATCCTCGAGCGCGTCCTCACATCCAACATATAAATATATAAATATATTTGTATTTGTATTTATATATTTTATATTTATATATTTACATGAATATACATTTTTATTTGTATATAAATATAATTTATGTATAAGTTATTATCGGAAAATCCCTGCAGCTTAGTGTTTGGAGTATCGACTCTGACTCTAAGGTACTTGCCAGTGACAATTCTCTTAATCTGATAATAATTCAAATTCCTAAAAAATATAATATAAAAGGGTTATAAAAGGGAGAGGATAGTCTAGGAAACTCTAGATCAATATATAGGGTAATTAGAGATGTGTTATGAATAAATAAAATAAAAAAAAATATTAGACTTTCTACATCGGTTCCTTACAACCGATGTGGAAAGTCACACTTTCTATATCGGTTGTATCTACATCGGTTCTAGAATCGATGTTAAAAGTCCCTAGAAACCATTGTTAAAACCTATTTTGTACTAGTGGCAATTCAGATGATAAGCACACACAAATGAGGGAAATTGAGAATGCTACATATAAATAGCCCACGTACACATGTTGAGTGATGACTTGCCATAGCCAAACCCCATTAGAATAGACCAGATTGCTTTTATGAGCACCATCATTAGGATTACAGAGTGTATATAATAAAGATAAATTCTGGAAAGGGGTTTGGACGATAGGACTTTCTTTAAAGTAGCAGACAAATTGTAACTCGATACAGGTCATTGATCAGATCACTTAAGGTTATTCTGAGGGAATCTATTTTTTGCATTTGATAGAGTTGGGTAAGGAATATCTGCTGCCTTTAGACAAAGTTCAATGAGAATAAACGATTAAGTAATGATGACAATGGACGTGATCAAGAACCAATATCAATGACATGATGATATGGATTATCAACCTCAAATAATTAAATAATATGAGCACACTCCTTTACAAACATTAATAATCTATATTTTAGTCTTTAAATTATTTCAAGAGTTTATTGGAAAACGGTGTTTTAACACGCTCGTGATTTATGTATTTGAAATATGAGAGAATTAAAATTTATTCACCAAAAAAATGTTAAAATATTTTTATGTTTTTAAGATATTAAACCCCTTTAATTAATGAAAATGATTGAAGTCCTAAGGAATTAATGCACACTTGCGATGAAATTCCACATGATAAATAGAGATCCCAGGCCCAGCCTTGCATGATTGAGACTCATAATGAGTTGTTTTTGTACTTGCGAGGACCAACAAAGTAGAAACTAATGATGAATAGCGTCTCCCCTATACTGCCCAAGATAATTTCATCCTCTCAATCATAATCCTTTAGTCTTATCCGTTTCTAACCATGGTTTTATGAATTTCTTTTCCTTCCTTAGAAGCCATTTTAGACTTTTCTAACTTGTCAAACTCTAGCTGAAATAAAGAAATTCAGTCTTCTATATACGGTTTTTCAAACTTTTGGACATGAAAAAAGATACAATAACTTAACATAGTTGAGCTTTAAAATAGCTTTTAGATAACAAGATTCTAAGACCGTAAAATTATGGGAGGAACTTGGTGTTGTGGGATATAAAACTTAGGAGCCATTTCTCGTAGTACGAACAGAATGATTAATGCAACAGTTACATTTTAAACTTGCGCAGAAGGTCCCTATTGTACTACTAGCTAGAAATTCACTTGTTCTCGTAAACATGCATGCAAAAACAAGCTTTTGCCATTTTGATAGAGGAAAAAAAAACATAGAATTATGCATCGGTCCAAGAAGCAAAAATTGGCATCTGGGGCAAAGAAAGCGCAGGCCTGAGATTGGACGATAGCTCCCAAGAATCCCCGTCAGTTGTTGGAATGTTAGTGAATAATTTAGACACTGGTGACGGCATTCCAAAGTGCATTGGCAAGCTTGTCTTATCTGGGCTCTCTTCTCTTGAGCTACTCAAACTTGTCACCAGAGAAGAAGGATTTGACAAGTGTGTTCCCATGTTACTCGATTCCTCTACATCCTGATGAAATATGTTATCTAAAGCCGTTGAGAAGGAATGAGTTCTAACACTCTCAATTCTTGGTGGATTCTGGTCAAGGTGTTGGGAGGATGGATGGAGAACCATCTTGCAGCTTTTCTGCATTAGAATGGCTTCTTTTGTGTGTTCATATGTGCAAGGTTTTTGGTTGACAGAAGCCTCGTTTCTTGTTCCATCATCAATCTCTCTGCTCCGCTTAGCTTGTTCACTGCTAAGAAGGTTGTTGCTTGCCATAATTTTTTCCACGTCATATCTTGTTATATCAAAGTTAGTAACAGCATTAACTCCTCTGAATTTAATGGCAGCAATGTCGTAAGCTTCAGCCGCTTCCTCTTGGGTGCCTTAAGTTTAATTTCAATGAAGATAAGTATTAGTTTTTCCGTACAGACAGTGGATGAGAATTATATTATTATTTGGCCTAAAGCACGAGAATGAGAATGAAATCAGAATTTTATAATTAAAAGTATTAATTGAAAGCATGATTGTTTATCCTTCTGAGCTAACAGCTTTGTTAAAAGCTGCCTTGGAGACTAACAGTGCTCTACAATATTAAAGTTGCTCATGATCAGCCTTATATATGTGACTGAAAAGAAAAGTGCAATCAAAGATTAGCTTTTAAGTCATAAAGCTCCCTCTCAGTCATATCCTATTTTTGAACAAGTTACATGAAAATAACAGTGGTAACTAGTGAAGGAAATATTGATGATTTAACTGTAAAAAAGAATAAAGCAGATGATTTGAAAGAACTCACTGAAGGTTCCAAGATATAGATCTTTGTTTCCAGCCACTCTCCCAATTCGAGCTTGCCACCTTCCATGTTGGTGGTGCCTGCTACCAAGTTAATAAGAATGAACCAAGTTTAGAACAAAGTAAATTATTCTTCAGATATAAATCCTGTTAAATTGAATTGCAATGCATATACAATGTAAATGCTAGCCTGTGAGACCTTGTTACTCCTCTATACATGGAGGCGCCTCTTGAGAATCCGCTGCTTTTCCTGATGATGATAGGATATAAATATATGAATTGGTTGTTCAGTTCAAGATGATGCAGAATCAAATATATAATTACCTTCGTAAGTGAGCAACATATTCTTGTCTCGTCATGTTTTTCATTTCCTCAAGTTCGTTTTGATAATTGTCCAACTGTTAAAAGATAACATTAATTAGTTACTGTTAATTGAATCCAAGAAGCTGAATACAACTCCATCAGAGGAAAAATGAGAAAGAAAGTAATCATTACTGGGAAATTTATATGAGAGGAGGGTCCCCAATACTTGAGTGCGGCCATGTCATAAGCTCTTGCAGCTTTTTCCTCCATATCATAACCTCCTACAATAAAATTTTTGGAATTACTTGTGTAAATTGATTTTCTTCTTTTGCTATCATAAAGAGCAAAATATAAAACGACATCTTTAACTTCGAGTAAATCTATCCTCAAGGAATTTGAACAATACTTAAAAAAAACTATTTGTGGTGTTGGAAAACCTTACCCAGATAAACTGAGATCCATTGCATGTTCAAGTGGAATCATCATCGAATCAAAGACAAGAGAAAAAAGGGATCAGCGTGACTAAATGCAGAGCTTTTCAAAGGAGGATAAAAATGAGGCCAATAAATTTGTTTGACCAAAAATATTCACAGAAAAAGAAAAAAAGGTAAAGTGACGGGAAAATAGTCGCTTTCTTACCTTGCCTTCCTTTCCTTCCTTGGCCCTCTTTCTTGCAGCTGTTGTCCCATAGATGAGCTTCATATCTACCAGTCCACCTATGCCTGATGAACAAACATTCTTTAGAAATCAAAGCAAAAAATAAAAAAGAAATAAACAATCAAATATGTTGTTGGCATTGTTCTTGCATGAACCCTCTGACAAAAATCTTAACTTCTTAAGCAAGAAGCACAACACAAGTAATTAGTGAATATCATTATAGCCTCGTTATTTCAATAACACTTATATTAAGATGTGCCTGAAGTACTAATAAGATTTAGAAATGACCAGAGAAGTCCAAACCTTGTTACACCTCTATATTGAGATGTTCTTTGCCCAAAGGTGTCTATGGATTTCCTATGAACTAGTTGCTTCTGATCCTGGTCCACCATTTGAAGCCCCCTTTTCTTCGTATCAGTAATAACAGACGAACCTGTAACACAGCTTGATCGTATGGTAGGGCTCACAGACAAATTCAATGAATGTAAATCCCCATATGTTATTGATCCAGTGGATCCAGATTTACTTCCATTATCCTCCAAAGGAACCATCATCCTTGACTCCTGTTCATGACAAGCAGGAAAGTCCCTTGAGAACCAACTCTTGAGACCAGGAACTGCATCCTCCGCTATACAAGGGAGCTGGTGCTTGGACCCTTCTAAAATCACATCATGGTGGTTTCTTAAGGAAGAGTAATATGATAATTGTTGCTGGCTGATGTTCTCTTGTACTTGGTTTTGGTTATTTGGATTGTTCGGTCCATGACACGAGAGTTGGTTGTAAAGCATACTATCCAAGCCCAGAGGTATTGCTGAAGTGGTTGTCATTGGTTCACAATATATAGATAAAAGCAAAGTACTCAACAAGTTGAATTATTAGTACAGTCATACAAAACTATCCATACAAAACAAAAGAATATAGCAGAAGTTTGAGTTCGAGCTAACCTTGTGCTTGTGATCTGCTCATAGCTTCTATTCCATAGAGTGAGACATTAGATTTAAGGGGCATGATAGGCAAGGAAGAACACATTCCAACATGTTCACCTTGGAGTCCATAGTTATGAAGAGGTGTATAGTGATAATATGTTGGTGGAACTGTTTCAGCAGCAGCAGATGAAGGCTGTGTTTGATGAGAGTGTGAAGGAACAACTATATTCATTTGTGGGGAGAGGGAGAAGCCTAACCAGCTATTTTGATAGTTGATGTTAACGGTATCGCCATTTTCTACAGGCTTCATGATCTTGTAGACTCAGTATCACTAGAGTCCTTAACTTCTCCAGTTAACAGAACTTGTAGACAGATTTAAGGCAAGACAACACAATCATTGAAAAACAGGTAAACTACTAAGCAATGATTCCAATATATACATCTATATCTAACTTATCATTTGCTCCGCTTGAAACCGATATTTGTTTTGTTCAATATGCACCTATGTTTTGTTGGATGCAGAACTGAATAGGCCAAATCTAAATTCTATCCAAGTGTCTAAATAAATGAGTTTTGTGTGCGTGTATAAATGAGTGTGTCATTGGACAGATTGTAGATTTGTACATGGAGCAAAGAAAATTTGTTTAAACTAAACAAAAAGAATGTGTTTCAGCAAGCATTGCTAGTATACTTCCCGCCATCCATTGGGATCCGTGCATGAGAAAGACATTCCCTTTTGCTTTATTCTACGCTCCCTGTCCCTGCTTCACTTTCCTTTATCTCTTTTATTCTTGTTTATGATGTTATGTAATTCACCATATTTCTCTACACTGTTCTATACTTTTTAACTAATGTTTAAACACTCAATTATAATGCTGATCATAACTGCAAAATTTGATACAAAACTTATTCACTCAATCTTACTTCTTTATTCATTTATTCGAAACATACAAATAACAATGTGATTGAATAGGTACTGAAATTTTTATGTAACAATTATCATGCATATTTTCCTAAACCCCTCATCTCTATGTCATGGGTTAATTTATCTTTTACTTGACTGTCTTACGTTATTTCTTAATCTTTCAATTATCTGATATTTACTATAAGCTAAAATTTATTTATTCAGTTCAAAATTTGTAGTTAACAATAACTTGGGTCCTTCTATCTCGTTTTGTTTGTCATTATTTAATATTATCAAACTAATAAATTATATATATATATATATATATATATATATATATATATATATATATATATATATATATATATATATATATAGAATGCATCAGTTACCTCTTTTTTTCTTTCAATAATGCTTTCAAGAATAAATGTATCAGAAAATATATCGTAAAACTGTATAGCATAATTAGACATTTATGAAATAAAGTAATTTCAGTTATATTATATTATTTTATATATCTAAAAGAATATTTTTATCTATGACTAATCTCAACATTATTTTATTATAAAATTTGATTTAATTAATTAATATGTTACCTTAAATGATAATAAAATGGGACGAAAGGAAAAAGTTTATTCAAGTGTGAAAATGGAATTATTTGATGTTAAAGCTTTAAATCAACACGTAAGTATCACCATGCTTATAATATAATGAAGAAGAAGAAAAAGAGAAGACATGCAGTCCTGCAAATGCACCCGAAATAGAGTGGACAAAATTTATTTACAATTTTTAAAGTATTTTTTCGTGTTGTTGTCATACCAAAATAAAAAGTTCCCCTTCAACATTTAAAATACAAATCTCCGTTACCAAAAATTTCAAAATAAAATTTACATTTTACCTTTTTTTTTTCCTTTCGGTGCATTTATATCTAACATTAGATGCAACTACCAACTGAGCCACTAAAATTGAATTAATGGTGAGAACAGAGGCAGATATCTTAGTTGTGAAAGGGGTCATGCCACCAAACTTTTCTTAACATATGTAATAACTATTGTTTTATATTAAAACAATGTATGGAAGTACTGTATTATTGTGTTTTATTAATATTTGTCTTTCATAAAGTATTTCCTACTTAGTGCATATCATAAGTTAGTAATCCAAAAATTTATTTTAATTAACTATATATTCATTTGGTAATAACTTAGAATTAGAAAACGGACTAAATAATTTAACAAGCCAATATTTCTTAACCAGTTGAATTATATGTATTAGGCATGTATTTGATTATTTGTTGAAAATTTGTTACACGAATTATGAAAGAGAAATTAAAAAAAAAAAAGGATAAATGTTAAGTAAATATTTGCTGAATTTTATTTAAATGGAAAATTGAACATAATCTCATCTATGTCGTACATAAATCTGTAGATAAATTTTTTATTTCCTATCTATTATATTAACAAATCTCGGGTAATTTATTTATGGACCTTTTAATCTTTCATCTAATTCAGTTTTTACTATGTTAAACTAACTATTTTTTTTTATATATATTTTGTCAAATTTTTACTAGTTTTAAGGAGTGGAAAGAGACCAGGTCATATAAGAATTTTTTTTTCCACAAATGAAATTAATTCTTAGACAAGTAAAAATAAGAATTTAGAAAACTTATATAAGTATAATTATAACTTATATATAAGTTAATTTAAATTTATAGAGAATCTCATTTTTTCATAATTTTTTTTTTCAAAGCACTGTTAGAAAATGCAAAACTTTTGGTATGGAATTTTATAAAGTTCATAATAGGAATTGTATATTTTTTCTCTACTTATGTGTCACTTATATTCGGTAAGGGGAAGCTATACATTCATTTATTAACAGTTGGTATTTTTTTTTTGTGTGGATCACTTCTACTATGAGAATTTTTGGGCAGGCATTTACTACGTCGTTTTCATAATTCCATTGTTTATTAAATCAAATTATTATTGTAAAAAGTTTTATTGACAATAGATAGAATAAAAATTTATGTTATTATCATCATTAGTTTAGCTATTAATTAATTTGTAAAGGAGTTATCTAATAACCTACCTTTAGGTATGACCAATAGTTCTTCAAAGGACTTACTGGCCACGTCACTTTTAATTCCAATGAATCGTTGGATCGTTTTAATTTAGAAACCTATTAATTTCCTTTACAATCATTTGATTTATTAAAAATTGTCAACATATGTTTGTCTTTGACAGAAATTATCAAGAACAAAGCATAGTTCACCGATGTAGAGCAGGTTGTAGAACTTTAATGCATGTAATTAAGGTGAATGGCGTGGTGTCCTACAACATGTAATAGGGTCAAATGGTGGGTTACTGAACAAAGTGTTGCATTATGATGTCTAATGTGACATGGGTACCCATGATTGCCTAGAAGTAGTAGAAGAGGGAGATTTTTTTGTTTTAATTAGAGTAAACAATTATTGAGGTGCCAAATCCTTTTTTATGTGCTTTTGGGACGCCATGATTAATTGTACTCCATAAGCGCATTGATTTTTGAGCTACTCTCCTCTAAATAAATACATTTATCCAATACTTCTATATATTAATATAATATTAATAGAAAATTATTATTATTATTATTATTACATAGAAGTTGTAGAATGTATACTTTAGAATTGTGAGGTGTTTGAACATTAAGCATTAGTTCGGTTTCAATAAATTTTTTTTAAATATACTTATTTTTTAGAAAATATTGATATAAAAAAAGTAAATTATCATTTCAAAAATAATAAGTAAATTAATTTAAATTAAATAATTATATAATTACAAAATTACTTATATATTTATTTTTGAGAGAAAATATCAAAAGAATGATTTTAAAAATAACACTTTTCCTCGTATAATGTGAAAAGTAATATGTTTCACTTTGTTTACTATTAATCTTTTTTTTTCTAAATTTTTCTTTTAAATGACGAGATCTAAATTACTAAATCTCTTTTAAAAATTTAATTGATAAGAAGGAATATTAAATTGAGTAAACCCGACCACACGAGTTACATGAGTTAATTCACCAAGTAAAAATGAATCAGCTCTACTTGATTGATGAGTAAAAAAAATTGCAGTTTAGTTGATAGGTTAGCTCATCTTATCTTTTAAACTTTTTTTAATGGTTAAAACATTTTTTTTCATGGATTGATACAAAGTTAATGATAGGATAGATTAGATTATTAATATTTAAATAGAAATTATTTTAGTATTTTATTTTTCATTTTTGTATACACTATGATAAATAATTTTTGGAATATCAATTTAATTAGAATATCTTTTTCCAGTTTTATTTTAAAAATTGATTTAAAAAATAATTATGATTAATTTATAATTATATTCATTTAACTTGTGAATTGAGTTGGATTAGTTTGAATAAAATAAAAATCATAGCAACCAAACTCCATTCCATGCGAGAGAAGCTCATGAGTTCAAACTCACGATGACACCCTTATTTACAACTGTACAAGTTTTCTTTTATTTGATTTTTATTTCCGTTTCATTCTTTCTTGTTCACCGTTTTGATTTTTCACGAATTAAATTACAATATATAAATATATAAAGCACTAATATTCTTTGGCCATCCCAACATGGGTCCCAGAAAGGTATCCCAATGAAACATCAGATAGATGAGTTGAGAGAGAGAGAGAGAAAGAGAAAGAGGAAAACCGTGGCACTCCACTCCATGTGGTGCAAATCCAATAAAAAACTTAAAAGCACCGTTAACGTCAAAAATATGTCTCTAGGTTGTTGTCTAAGCATAACGGTGGGTCAATTGGTCTACTCTAGAAAACCCTGATCTGGCGGCTATTAAGAAGCACGTCATCAGTTTTAAAAGAAAAGAGAACGAAAGAAGAAACAACACTTCCAAAAGGAAGGATGAATAGGATAAAAGATCAAGATAGGAACAAAAAAGGATAGCCACGAGTTTTTATCATCTCCCTTTTATGTATCTAGCTGAGAAACTTAACAGAGAATCACTCATATAATATGAATTATATATATGAAAGATAAAATTATTCTTATAAAGGCATTGTGATGAGACCAAAAATAGTAAAAATGGTAAACTGCAATATTCTTCGAGGTCCACATGTACGAGAACACCAAATGAATCAAAACAGCGGCAACAAAAAGGAAAGAATGTATACGGAGTTCTAGTTCTATCAAAGTTTTTCTTCCCCCAAGTTTTATATTACAAATTAGCAATTACAATCTCACGATGCAATGCGAGAACTTGGTGTGTTAGGCATCAGATTTGAATTGAACTTTCCTGTGAGTCCCCACTTTAGAAACAAATCATACACTATTTATTTCAGTCTCATACAGCGTGTGCACATTATGGGGAGTGCCCATACAAAAGCTTTAAATTTAGATTCACTTAGATCAATATCATCATTAGTTTGCATGCAAATTTGCATGACCAAGTTCATGGAGACAGAAATTCTAGAGCCCATGATTTGGTTTGAGAAAAAGAGACAGGCAAGGGAGTTTGGCAGTGAAAGAAAGAAGCAGAACAAGACTAGGAGGAATGTTGAGAAAGATAAAGAGACACTCTTTTTATCCTGGTAATGATGAGTATATCCACTCACAAAATACCAGATACCAATTAACAGTGTGCCTGAAAATTATGTGGCATGGCCATTAAAGTAGCTTCTGTACTGCCTCGGCAAACTTTGCTTTACATTTCACCATCCTTTTCATGTGGGGCGATGGGGAAGCGTATCTTCATGCCCTTTTCTCACCATTGTTGCCTTTCAGGTAATTGACTGCTACTTCACTAATTAGTAATCTATCTCCTGGGGTATCATTTTTTAATGGCATTAAATGGTAATCATATATTAATGGCAGTTGTTATTGTCAATGAAACTTTTTTTTAGTTTTAAGACAGTTATTAAGCTAAAAACTTCATGGTAATCAAATCAGAAAGATTAACAGAGTCCGATGATAATAATAATTTACTATCATGATATATATCTTACCCATCTCTTTCACTAAAAAGAACTAAATAGCTAAAAACCTATATGAAGATGTATTCAAAATCATTTGACATACGCAAATTAGAGACTTATTAGTAGTAATTAGAAAGAAACTCTCAACCATGTATGGGGAGTAAGCACCCTTCTCTTCTTTGTGTTGTTTTATCGTCGTATCATGAAGCTTCAATAACTGTTGTTTTTGGCGTTTAATTCTTCTTCCGGGCGCTCTGGTCTTTCATATCTTTCCACAATAACCCTCTCCAATCTTTTTCTATTTTCTGCTTTTCTTAATAATCTTTTAGATATTTGAATGGAATTGAACATGTTCTCTGAGTTGTTTCTATCAGCCTTTTGATACTCTTAAAGCGGAAAAAGAAGTGTGATAATAAAAGTGAGAAATCAAAGTTCTTCACCATAGCACAATCAAGATACTCAACTTCAATGGAGATGAATGACATCGTTTAAATCATTTGACCTACAGAACATTAAGACCTTCACATAGGGATTCAAAAATAAGAAACAAGCCCTCGTTGCAGGAAGAAGCGTTATTAGAACAAAATTGTTCATATTAAAGCATTGAATGCTCAAAATATGCTTCTGGAAATTTTATAATACACCATTTACAACTAAATGTACAAATTTAGTTAGAGAGAAAAACGATTATTAGTTGACAACCATCATGTTACATGTACAACGATCACCATAAACAAATTAAACTGCAATTTAACACAAATTGTTCCAACAATAACATACATAAAAGTTGAAAAGGAAATGGTAGGCTCAGACACGCACAAACACAGTCATCACAGAGCAAACGACTTGCTTTAGTCCTTATCAGGATCGAGAAATGTTATCGGTCATCACAGCCTTGGGAAAGGACATGCAATGAAAAATAAGGGGTCGAAGAACCGAGATTCAAAATGTATTTTTTTTTTTTAAAGGAGAAAAGAAGAAACCCAACAAGAATTTAAAATTGATAACAGGTTTGCAGGATATAAGAGAGACATGTCCCACGAAGGAAATGCGCTGCGGAAAGATTTCGAAACATAGCGACGGTGGGTGAAAAAATAACGCACAGGATAACCAAAAACCCTAATTCGAAATTACTTTATGCTCTGAAGCCGAGTGAGTTTACCCACAAGAATTGGGCTACTGACCGAAGTATAAACCTTCAAGCTCAAGGCCCATATTTTCCAAATCTCTGGAGGCCCATACTATTTACACCTCATCTTTACTTATTTGCCCCAACATTTTTTATTTTTATCTTTCTTGACAAAGTTTCCCTTATCCATGACCCACACTCACAATATAACAATTGAAGTACGGATTTGGTCCTGAAATTATAATTATATAAAGCATTGGTTTCTAAAATCAGTAAAATAGCTTTTAAAATTATATATTATTAATAAAATTAGGCTTTTAAATTATAACAAACAATCGAAATATTTTCTGCAATAAATAAAGTGACAAAAGTAAATTCTACAATTTTAAATAATCAATTTAATTATTCTTTAAATTGTAATAGTTTGTCAGTTTTTCTATTAATACAAAATTTCGTTGGAAAATTTGCGCCTAAAAATTTAAATTCTAATGAACAAATCTATATATGACAAAACTATATTTTTGTTGTTTACATTGTTATTATATATGAATTATATATGCTTTGAGATGCCACTGAAAAGGTGTTTGACATAAAATATGAAACATTTTCTGTAGTAGTGTATACGAAATAGCTGAGTATTACTAATAAAAATAAATTAAAAAGGCTATATGAAATCCCAAAATTTGCAAAACATTCACGGGATGCAAATTACTTTTATTTATCTGATTTTTAATATCACAGTAAACATTTTTGTAAGATTCTTACACAAAAAAGGGAATTTATTAAATGGTCTTAATCATAAAAATAAAATATATTTTTTGGCTGAAACTTTTACTATAATATCATTATTCTTTCATTAATATTGTCCTTTGTATATGTGAGGATTCCTTTTTATTAGTATTTATTATATGTAGAGTTTCCTTTCTTTATGCCTATACAATGATAATATTAGATTTAATCTTGGATTTTATACCAATTAACAAATATTCTACCATTGTGTGTACAATGGGCTTATTAAAGGAAAGTTTAAAACGCTACCTAATACATTTTTATTTCAATTAATTTACAGTTTTTTAACTAGCTGAAAATATGTTTAATGCCATTGAGGTAAGATATACTTTTATAATTTTTATCTTTTTTTACTCATAAGGTATTATAGTATTATTTTAAAAATATATAAAAATTATTTTACATTTTTATTACATAAGATATTGATAATTGTAGATAATAATTAGTTTTTTTATAATAAATATTTATTTTAAAATTTATACTATATTTGCTTTTATTTTATCATCTTGATACTTAAGCTTCAAGATATTGGTATTATAGTTTTTATATTATATTGTTTAGCCAATATATGATCATTAGCATAATTAAAGTAGGATTTTTACTACAAAAAGTGTTATAATTTTACTTTATCTAAAATTTGATTAAAATATTTTAATGGATGATTGTATTTGTTACAAAATAAATAAATTTTAAAATACAACATAATCACATAAAATGGATAAAGATACACCCTTGGTTTTGATGGTCCAGGGCTGTCCTACTTTGGGTTTCAATTAGGGTTATTCAACCTCTTCTAATCATATTTATAAATGGGGGTAATGATATCCTGTCAATTAGATATAGAATATTCTATTGATAACCATTTTTAATATATATATATATATATATATATATATATATATATATATATATATATATATATATATATATATATATATATATACCTCAATGATCCAGTATAAAGATTGGTTTGATTTGGTTTTATGTTTTAGTTTTTAATAATAATTTAAAGAAATAGTTTTAAAAATATTTTTTAAATAATTAATTTTGAAAAGGAGTTAAAATAATTATTTAACAAATTTAATTTATTTTTAATATATATTATAACTTATCATTGTCTTTGATAAGACATATCAGTTTGTTTTTAATTTTCTTTAATAATTAAAAATTGCGACTTTATTATTATAAAAATAATATATTTATGAATAAGATATTATAAGATCTTAATTGATTAAGAGTACCTTCAAATATATTTTATGAGTACAAAATTAAAATATTCATGTAAAAACATAGTATAAATATGTTTAATTCTTTCATTTAGAATTACAAACTATATTTAATTGATGATTTCTCCAAATATAACTAAATAAATTAGCTTATTTGCTTTGAACTTTGAGTTACTCTCAAATCTCATGAAGTAATCGGGTATAAACCATGATACTATTTCGATATATACCTCCTCGCTATAGACTATACTAATGAGAAAATACTTTGTTTGAGGATCGAATATCCTGGAGAATCCTTAAAGCAAGTTCCTCAAATTGAGGAGAGGAAGAAGGTGTGAAATTAATAAGATATATGTGGTGGTGATTATTTATAGGAGAAATTGTCATAGAGACTAAGGCACTTCTAGCAATGGCCAGAACCTTATTTAATCCTATTAAGAGATATGAGATCATCTTATTTAAGTTAAATAAAATAATTACGTACCACAAAGCAGTCATTTTGAATATATATAAAAGTAAATTCAAATTTAAGATATATGCCCCTCATTCATTGTCTTTTCAATGAGCCTCACATTCATTCTACCCATCTTCCTTTGCATCTCAACTCATTATCTAATACAAGGTGTTCTAAAGGGAGGAATTAAAAAGGATCCTACAGCATAACTTCCTTCTCCAAACCAAAAAAACTGTATAATTGTATATATTGTAGTATATAAAATACTTTTTTACAAGCTTCAACATTAATACAAAAAGTATAAATTTATGTTATGGTAACAAATCAATATAAATTTAGGTTGATAATGTAAGAATAAAGTGTGTCTCTTGATTTTTAGTGAATAAGTTTCTCAATGAAATTTTAAAATTATTACAATTAAAGGTTGTGAATAAAGAAAAGACAAACGCTAACCTATAAAAGTCATTCATTAACGAGAATTAAAGAGAAAAATAAAATGAGCTCTTGCTCCTTCTTTTTGTGTTTGGAATTCAATTAGGGTTTTTCTTTTTACGGGATTTTTTTATCCGTGGCAATGATGATAGAGGAGTGATTTTTTCAGTATTTTTTTCTTTTTTCTTTTTTTGTTTCTGTAATTATTTCTCTTATGCATAGGCTTTTATGAATTCTTTCTTAAAACGTAAAAAGAAACAAAAAATTATTACAATATTAAAATTAATTCTCATATAAATGTAAATCCATAGGAGTGAATATAAAAAAATTGAGAAATTTAGAAAGAAAAAATAACTCTTCGTATGCACGAGGAGAGAAATTCCTTAAAAAAATATAAAACAATTTTTATGTAAGATAGCATATAATTTTGACGTAAAAAATTTATTTTTATTTACAAAATGTCATCATATTTTTATTATATCCAATATTTATTAATATATGATATTAAAAGATAATATAAACAAAAATATATTTTATACGCACAGTTTTATTCTGTCCTTTATAATCTGTTTTTCTCACTTTCATGTAAAACAAACACTGTAGAACATACACTCCACACACTAGAAAAGTTAAACTCATAATAATCTCAATCTCGTGAATAAATGTAAGGACAAAAATTTTCTTTTACTTTTACGAAGATTAAAATTAAACTTTGAGATATTTTTACTCAGTTTATTCTTCATTAACTATATTAAGTTCATAATATTTTAATAAAAGTATAGTTCTGCACCGAGAGTCACGCTCAAAAGATTCTTTCACATAGATTGAATACTACTTCATGGTTACATGATTTCTTTTTAAGAAAAAAAATTACCGAGCAACTTTGATCCCCTGATAAAAAAGTAGTATGAGTTTGTGTCGCTCTCTAATTCAGTTCACGCTACGCTAAGCCCCAGACACCGCATGCCACGATCAATGGAGAAAGCGATGTTTTTTAGTGCTTATTATTCAACATTATTAATGTCCTGAACGACAATTTTGAATGTAGTGTGACAAAGTGAAGTAGTGAAGCACTTGTTTTCGTAGAGTTTTAAAGAGCCATGCAGAAAGTATTTGACTAGTTAGGGGTCGTATTGACTCGAAAGTAGCCCTGAAGCGATGATGCAGAGCTTATGGTCCACATGGTCGTTGTTACAAATATTTTATGAGACGAAGCTCTTGATATATATATATATATATATATATATATATATATATATATATATATATATATATATATATATATATATATATATATTTTTTTTTAAATATAAGTGTTACTCTAAATTTTAGATTCAATAAGAATAAAACAAAAAAAAGTTGACTATCATGATCTTTTAAGATTTTATACTGAAACTGATATCAATTCTTTGTGGAAGATGGATTCATATTTTATTAGACTTATTTAAATATTTAATCAAATTCAATCGAAATTTAATTAAATTTAATAAAATAATATTTTTATAATATAATAAATATATAATAAAGTTATTAATAATAATATTTTTTATAAAAAAGAAAAATAATAAAAATTATTATTATGATTATCATAACTTATAAAAAAAATTATAAATATAAAATATATTAAAAATGGTAAGATGTATATACTAAAAAAATTATTTTTTACCGATGAATATTTAAGCATAAGAAAATAAGTGATTATCGATGGATATTTTTATCAGTAAATGAACAATTAATTATATTAATTATATGTTGTGACGGATATATCTATTGATAAATATTTAAATGTATAAAATATAAATATAAATATATTTGTATTTATATATTTTATATTTATATATTTATATAGATATACGGTTATTTATATATAAATATAATTTATTTGTAAATTATTATTAAAAAATCATAGTAGTTGAGTGGTTAGAGTATCAGTTTTTTATTTTAAGGTATTAGGTTCGAATTTTATTTATAATATTTTTTTATTTTATCCATTGAAAATTCTTATTTTGTGTACAGTGGTATAATTAAAATAAGATGAAATTATAATAAAATAACTATTATTTAAAATTAACTAATTTTTGTGAGATAAAAAATACTATATTTCTTATTAAAAGAATTAATCCTAAATATTTTTTTATTATTAAAATCAGTTCAATCAAAAAATTTAGTTGATTTTTTCAGTTTTATTGGGTTTTATTCTAATTTAATTTAAAAATCCGATTATTTTAAAGTAACATACTAGTTTTTACTTTGATTTTCCTATTCAATCGATTGAATGGTATATTTTGATATGGGTTGAAATAATACGTGAAAGAATAAAATTATTTTTTATTATTAAAATCAGTTCAATCCAAAAATCTAGTTGATTTTTTCAGTTTTATTGGATTTTGTTTTGATTAAATTAAAATCCGATTATTTTAAAGTAACATCCTAGTTTCTATTTCGGTTTTCCTATTCAATCTTTTGATCTGGGTTGAAATAATACGTGAAAGAATAAAATTATTATTATTATTATTATTATTATTATTATTTATTTTTACAATAAGAGAGAAATATGAATATAAAAAATTATTAAAAAACTTTTAAAAGGTAAAGTTTATTTACTTTTTTTTTTAAATAACTGTAAAAAAATCATTTCTGCATTAATATATAAAATAATAAATAAAAATGAAAAAATTGGGGATCAAGCATCCCATGTTTTCCTCGATTTCGCCTCTTTATTATATGACACTACACTACAGAACATTATTAGCTAAAAAAATCAAATTAACAAATTTATGAGATATAAAAAATGTTAAATTAAAATAAATATCAAATCCTAATAATAGTTGTTTTTCATGACAAAAGTATACATTATGTAGTTTTTCTACGTTCTTAATTAATTATGAAAAGCTACTCTACACAATCTTTAGATTATTAATTTTCACAATATAACATACATCAATACATAAATCATAGTAAGAAGACTAACTTTGATCCATGAGAATCTATTTTTTAATCTTTTCGTTCTCCAATCTCCTGTTTTCAATCTATCTCTTTGTCTTTCTTTCTCTTCTCATGTTTTCTTGATGGTTTACCGTGAAAAACTTTATGACCAGAGACAGAACCCTAATTCCATTTTATTAACCAATGTCCATCAAGTTAGTTACCATAAGTTAATATTTTATTTTATCTTTATTTTATTTTAACTTCACATAATAACCAATAGGTCCTCATATTTTATTAAATCACATTTGAGCTCATCATTATATTTCACATGAGTCACATAATGGAATGAATTAATTAAAATTAATTCTAACATTCTCCCACTTGATTCATGGGATGTCATACAATTCTGTGATTTAATACTTAAGTCATAATGCGCATTAAAAAACCTTACATAAATTGGTTCTATCATTATTCATAATTAAAGATACAACTATAACAAGAGTCATGACGAGTTACATGTCATTCATTCGACAAACTCCCTTCCATGTACCACTATACTATCTCTTTCTCCCTAATATGACTTTATAATGAGAAGTCCATAATGAGTTCAAATATAATATCATTTTAATAATAATAACATAATTTGTTTTATTCATCATAATTTGCATGCATAATAAATAAAGAAGAAAACACAAATTTCGAAACTTATACATTAAAGATCTCGAGTATCACATAAACATTAATAATAACATTAACATTCACTACTAGTCAACATAATGCTCATATTTACTACATGGCCAACAAACAACTTGGGCGGTAATCCCTTTGTTAAAGGATCAACAATCATAAGATCAGTGCTAATATGTTTTATTGACACTTTCTGTTTCTGAACTTCTTCTTTAACGACAAAGTATTTCAATTCCATATGCTTAACACCTTTGGAATACTTGTCGTTCTTAGAAAAGAAGACTGCTGCGGAATTGTCACAATAAATTTTCAGCGGCTTGGCAATGTTGTCGACTACTCCAAGTCCTGAAATAAAATTCCGCAACCAATTAGCTTGAACTGTGACCTCAAAATATGCCACAATTTCAGCTTCCATGGTGGATGCAGCAATGACAGACTGCTTCACACTTTTCCATGAAATCGCTCCTCCGACTAAAAGATACACATAACCAAATGTAGACTTTTGTGTATCCATACAACCAGCAAAATCTGAATCTATATATCCAATCACCTCAAGGTGATCAACTTTCTTATAAGTAAGCATGTGATTCTTTGTTCCTTGTAAGTATCTTAAAACTTTCTTTGCAGTCTTCCAATGATCCAGTCCAAGATTACTCTGGTATCTACCCAGCATACCAACTGCAAAGCTAATATCTGGTCTCGTATATGTTTCAGCATACATCAAACCCCCAACAACAGATGCCTAAGGGATATTTTCCATCTGTTTCCATTCCAAGTCATTCTTTGGACATTGCATGAGACTAAATTTGTCTCATTTTTGTATTGGAACAGGAGATGCTGAACACTTCTCTATTCTGAATCTCTCTAAAATTTTATTAATATATTTTCTGAGACAAACCTAACAGTCCTTGTGATCTATCACAGAATATTTTTATTCCTATCACATAGTATGACTCACCCATATCTTTTATTTCAAAGTTGTTAGAGAGAAACTTCTTAGTCTCACTTAATAGACCAAGATCATTAGTCGCAAGCAAGATATCATTAACATACAGAATCAGAAATATAAACTTGTTGCCACTGACCTTCAGATATATACACCGATTAACAGTGTTTTTCTTAAATCCAAAGAACAAAATAGTATCATTGAACTTAAAATACCATTGTCGAGAAGCTTGTTTAAGTCCATATATTGATTTCTTAATTTTACACACCATATGTTCCTTTCCTTCTTCAATAAACCCCACTGGTTGATTCATATAAACATCTTCCTCTAAATCTTCGTTCAGAAAAGCAGTTTTAACATCCATTTGATGCAACTCAAGATCATAATGAGCTATTAATGCCATGATAATTCTAAAGGAATCTTTCTTACAAACAGGTGAAAATGTTTCCTTATAATCAATGTCATCTTTCTGAGTAAAACCTTTGGTAACAAGACGAGTCTTATAACGTTTGATATTGCCATGAGAGTCACGCTTAGTCTTAAAGACCCATTTACACCCAACAGTCTTGCATCCTTCTGGAAATTCTACAAGATCCCATACATCATTATGTGCCATTGATTTAAGTTCATCTTTCATAGCATCTAACCATTTGTCAGACACCATTAATGGCGTCTGAAAATGAAATTGGGTCATTATCAATACTTAGGTCATTTTTTGACTCTTGTAGATAAACCACGTAATCATTCGAAATAGCAGACTTTCTTTCTCTGTGAGATCTTCTTAATATTATTTCTTGTGGTTATTCTATTATCGGTTCATTGTTAATCTCAGGATCATTAATTTGTTGTTCTTCTTGACTGTCGTGTGGTTCTACAACATGTGGAACAACAATTCTTGAAGAAGATGTACTAATTACAGGGACTTGTACTCTAACTTCCTTAATCTTCACATTTCGTGAAGCTTCACTCCCACTGGTTTCACCATTTTCAATGAATCGAGCATTTCCATTTTCAACAATTCTTGTACTATGGGTAGGACAGTAAAACATATACCCTTTTGATTTTTCTGAATAACCAATGAAATATCCACTGATTGTTCTTGCATCCAGTTTCTTTTCTTACGGATTATAAATTCTTACTTCTGCCTGATAACCCCAAACATGTAGGTGTCTCATACTGGGTTTCCTACTTGTCCATAACTCAAAAGGAGTCTTTTGAACCACTTTACTAGAAACCCTGTTCAACAAATACATGACAATCTTCAAAGCATACATCCACAACGATACAGGTAAACATGAATTACTTAACATACTCCTAACCATATCCATTAAGGTTCGATTACGCCTTTCAAACATACCATTTTGTTGTGGTGTGTCTGGCATTGTGTATTGAGCACAAATATCACGTTTCTCAAGGAACTTAGCAAACGGAACAGGGTGTTGTCCACTTTCATCATATCTTCCATAATACTCATCACCTCTTTCTAACCTGACAATTTTCACCTTTCTGTCTAATTGTCTCTCCACTTTATTTATATAACTTTCTAAGGCATTTACTGCT